CTCTGTATCATCTATTTTCATCTTTGCAAAGATCATCTTTGGACATCGCTTGTCTACACTGTTAACCTGTTCTTTGGTGTCCATATATATATTGCTCAGCCTCTGGACCATCTGAGTATTCCTGTTCCATCATTCTCATCAAATGCATTCACCATTTTCTGTTTTATGACTGCGTCTTTTTGGCATTTCACAGCAAAATGGGTTTCCTTTCCACATTTGGAACATGATTTCCACTTGCAGGACACCGATCTCTTGCAGGACACCGATCTCTTCCAAACACGTTTTGTTCCACAGAACCTACATACCCACAACCATTTTGACTGTACTTGTATGCAGTCCTATTCTTTTGGCAGGTATCACGCCTTGCTTCAGAATCGTATGTTTCTTGGATGGAGCTTTAACCGCCTCAGTTTTGCTGATGGTTTTCAAGTGTCGAGCTGCAGTTGCGTGTGCACGGCACATATCTATGCAGGACTTCAGTTTTGTATCTTGTAACAAATGCTTCCATGTGTTATTGCCACTGATCCCCATTACTGTTCGATCCCCGACGAAGCTTTCTTCACCGTCTTGATAATTACAAGTTTTTGCGAGTGTCCAAAGAACTGTTGCATGGGCGTCCATAGTTTCAGAAGACTTCTCTGGATGGTAACAATTGTAAGATTCCGACTATATCATGAGCATTTGAGTGAATTTGAGGTTGAAAACTAAAAGAATATAAAAATAATAAAACACGCAAGGTTATTTCGAAGTTTATTTTAGGCCCAACGATACTGATGATAAATATGATGAGGGTACTGTGGATTAACCTGGTGGCATTTTACTTGCGTTTTCTATGAACTTAACAACTTCCATAAAAATTCCTTACAAAGACAGATATATTGCCGGGTCCAGCAAATGTACCACAAAATCCCTGTGTAAAAGATTACGCAAGATTCTTAATACCTTAAACGAAGAACTTTCATCTCATTCACATAATGCAGTTTCCACATTTTACTCTACTATACCACACGCACACGTAAGGACAAACTCTGTTCCTTGATTCATGGAGCATTTTGACCCTGATCGTGGTGACCATAGGTACAGCTACATCTTCAAAGGTTCAAATTTGTCAGATGTGAAAGAAAGTGTCATGTGAAGTTTACTGAGAAAACAATAAGTAAAACGATGGACTTCCTCAAAGATAAGATCCTCTAGGAAAAAAGATGGTTGTTACCCTGTCTGGCTAAAACAAGGACTGGTCGGCTCTGATTCTGTGTACTTTGTCAGTGGGGTATTCATGTTAAACTGCAGAATTGTAGAACTATTGATCGGCATAAGTCAGGACAAGTACAAGCAACCACACACACACACAAATGCAAATTTGGGAGAGGCTTGTTGACATTGTAGCTCGGTATCAGTCAGAGCTGTTTAAACTATATGTGTTTCTGTTGACAAGGGAGCAGCGTCTTTATCTACATAAGTACACAGACTGCCTTGCGCCTAAACTACTCAGTGTTATGTAATCAACTTTATGAGAGTGTCTGGTCTGTGAACGTTTCCTATATTGAATATCTGTAATTTGAATTTTATGAAACTGTATATACATATGTGTCTGAGAGTGAAGGTCAAGGTCAGTACACCGAAAATGCGTCTAACTTTGTTATTAATGTAGCCTGAGGTTGGGGACTTTCTGGTTGAATGTTGTACAGCTTTTGATACGTGTTTTCCCAAACCGGAAGTGACGTGTTAGGTCTGCTGTAACCTGATGTAGTATAGTCTAAACGATTCAAGATGTATGTTGCTGATGGGACATTTTGGCGAATTCAAGAAAATGTGAGGTTTGGGATGCTTCTGCTTCTGCAAACACCTTTTCGTTATGATTCATCCGTGCATCCCGTTCTTAGGCGGAGTCTTGACAGGATCAAGTTTCGAGTTATCTCCATATTACATTAAGCTTACTAGAAGCCAAATTATGAAACATAGTTAAAGTTTCACGAAATTCCGGATTACTTCGTGAATAATGAAACGATTTAGAACTGTTAGTATGGTCTAGATATTCATATCTATAACACAGCCATACTTTGCAACAGGTATGTTTTCGTGTCTGACTGGATAACGTTGAATATCAAGGTCAATCAATGTGAAGTACACGTCCCAACACATCTGTGTACACAACATCTTGAACATTTATAATTATAATCTCTACGCAGTTCAGAGCTAAGACTGAAGGTCAAGGTAACTGAACCGGAAGTGCTTATAAAATCGTTATTAGATTAGCTACATGCATGTGAATTTCAAGTTTTATGTATTTAAATATAGCAGGTAGATTTTTCAGATGTTTCATTTTACCTTTCAGTTTTACAGACAGTTCTCAGTAGAGTTACACAAGCACCAATATACGCCAACGCTATACATTATAGCACTAGCACCAAATACAGTCACATGCCACAATATGGTCACTGACTCACGTATCACCACATGACATGGTGTCTCCCCCTCTATCTGTCCCGGGGGACGGGTCTCACTCTCTGGCCGTCATTTCTCACTGGGGGCTCCAAATTGTAGTAGCGGGTTTGAGGTAGACGCTGATGTTGGATTTGGAATATTATGTATATTCTTGGAACTCGGTGTTTGTGTTTTGAGGATTTCATTATCTAGGTTAGTTTATTTGATTTGTGTATTTTATATATTGTGTATATATGGTATTGAATATATTGTATTTCTCTAAGATATGTTATGTGGAATTTAATTCATTGAAATAAAAAATGTATCGTGTATCATCAAAACGGTATGTTTTCTAGTTAAATTCGGAATTGCCAGAATAAACTTTACTCAGGTCACATCATTTTATAAAAAGTTGAAATAAAACGTTGAAAAGTTTAACTGTGGTCAAACGCCATTACTTCACTGTTTTCATTCTTTTGTGGGGGCACGGTGGCCCAGTCGTCTAAGGCGCCGCGATTCGCTGTGCAGAGTTGCGTCCCCTGGACACGCCAGAAACCTATGATTGTGGGTTCGAATCCCGGTTGTCAGCACCATACCCGTGCTCGTGGGTGGTAAACGTCTGAGACCTGTATAACTTCGGGCTTTCCTCCCACATTAAGCTGCCACGCCGCGATATAACTGGAATACTGTTAAAAGCGGCGTTAAACGCAACTCACTCACTCATTCTTTTGTGGATACAGTAGATGTTCCGCTTTGGTTGTGCAAAGGGCCAACAATACTTCTCCCAAAGAAAGGTGATTTGACTGACCCTGAAAACTTCCGCCCTATTACTTGTTTGAACACACAGTTCAAAATATTTCCAGAGGGTCTTGCATAGCTTATGTCATTGACTGCGCTGCCAACATCTTCCCGATGCAAGTGTGTTAACTGACTATAAAAGTCCAGTTTCCACCCTTGCCGAACTAGGCCGGTATTATGGAGTTACAATTTGGCTGGACTAACGAGTCCAGCATAGTCCAATCAAAATCGCGCAACGAAATCGAAATCCAGTTCGTAAACTGCCAAAGGATTTGCAAAGCATGTGCACCGCCAACTCATTGTCAACAAATATTTTCAAAATCTTTTCATGTTTCTAAGCAAGGTGCTCACGTGAATTGATGCATATCGCAACGTAGATATAGATCTTGATTATCGAGCAGATCGTCCTGACTTGGCGCCGCCATTTTGTTTGAAGCAAATGCAAGTGATACGAGAGGTGGAATCTGATTGGTCCATAGGAGAGGCTTAGAAGGGACATAACTGGTAATAGTCATTGGTGGCGCTACGATCGAGCCCAGGAATTCCAGCCTAGTTCGGCAAGGGTGGAAACTGGACTTTCAAAGTCAGTTAACTCTCTTGCCTCGGGAAGATGGCTTCCAATGACATTTTTTTTTTGCATGGAGCAGAAAGGAGCCAGAAAGGGATCTTAGGATTGTAATGATCCATTGCTGGTTTAAAAAAAAAGAAAAAAAAAAGAAAAAAAAAAGATTATTGAAGAGGCTAAAACTCACCATCATAACCTCTCAGTGTGCTGGATAGACTACAGAAAAGCTTATGATTCTGTATCTCACAAATGGATTTTGAAGTCACTGAAATGTATTGACCTCCCCGAGCGGCTACTTGTTTTACTCAAGTCTTTAATGAATTGCTGGTCAACTCAACTTGAGATGTATTCGGAACCCATTTCTATTAGATGAAGAATATTTCAGGGCGATTCTTTTTGTCCTTTGCTTTTCTGTTTGTCCCTGAATTCTTTAATCTTTCTGCTTAGCACAGAGGAAGGACCTGGACCTACCCAGTACAAATCTCAACACCTCTTACTAACCTCCTTTACATGGATGACCTTGAACTTCCGGCCAAACAAAATCCACACTAAAACAGAGATTCTCATTGTCGAGTCCTTTTCTAATGTTAAGCTGACACGCCTTGATATAACTGGAATAATGTTAAAAGCGGCGTTAAACCGAACTCACTCACTCACTCACTCCTTTTCTCATGATGTTGGCATGTCCTTTAGACTCGACAGTCTGAAACTTGACAAGGTTCATTTAGAATAGAGAGGATCAGTTGGGGGAGGCTGACTGACTTGGTTAATGTCATTGTATCCAAATTGTGTAGATCGAGGCTCATGATATCAACCACTGGTTTTTCTGGTCTAGACTCGAGTCAAGTTTCTACCTTTGTTATCTTATTACTTTGTTGTTCTACAGGAACATAGTGTTCTCTGCTTCATAGCATTTATTCACCTAAATATACTTCGAAACGTTGTTCCTCATAATAAAGAAAATGACATCCATAATTTCTCCGCTCAGTGAGCATTTGACGTAGGAAATAGAGAACTATATGCGTAAAGACATTCTTAGCATTAAACTCCCTGGGCCAAGTGTAACTACTATTCGCCGTTTACCATAAGTCCCTGGTCCAAAGGCACTTTCGTTTATCATGACCCAGCTTAATTTTTTTTTTATCTTCAATAGAATATTTACATATGCATGATATAAATACAAACCAAAAAAACGCACAATGAATTTTGACAGGCTGCTGTCTGTTCACAAGTTGGAATGTAGGCGTGTAAGTCGCAAGAAGGTTCAGACTGTCTTCGCCTGTTGTGGACATATTGGAACTACAACACATTCAGAGGTATTTTTACAAAACTTTTACATATGCACAGCTAGAGGATACTAAGTTAAGACTTATTAGCTGAAATATCTTTTGGGGCTGTCGGGTAGCCTAGTGGTTAAAGCGTTCGCTCGTCACGCCGAAGACCCGGGTTCGATTACCGACATGGGTACAATGTGTGAAGCCCATTTCTGGTGTCCTCCGCCGTGATATTGCTGGAATATTGCTAAAAGCGGCGTAAAACCAAACTCACTCACTCACTCACTCACTCACTCACTCACTGAAATATCTTGGAAATCTGTACCAACGCATGCTGCAGAATTGGGGCCGCATTCATCAATGCCTGTTCCTCAGGGTCTGCTGGAATCACATCCGATCAGCAGAATGTGTGCAGACTCTCTGTTCAGCTGTCACATAAACAGTGCTCACCTGCATATTGGCCTTGCTACTATTGTGTACTGATAACGTGGACACTCATATCTATATCTCGTAACCTCATTTGTCAGTTACACGCGACAAGTCCATGTGTAACAATACCAAATCGGGTGATTACCCCTCAACTGAATAATGCACTGCTCCACAAAAACTACAAATTGAACTATTACTTGGATTTCACATTCAACAGACAGGTCGCACTGGGATAGTCGTATGAATAGATTCCCTTGTCAAACGACAATTTAAGGTAAGTGTTTGTGAGTGAGTGAGTTAGTGAGTGAGTGTGTGTGTGTGTGTGTGTGTGTGTGTGTGTGTGAGTGTGTGTGTGTGTGTGTGTGTGTGTGTGTGTGTGTGTGTGTGTGTGTGTGTGTGTGTGTGTGTGTGTGTGTGTGTGTGTGTGTGTGTGTGCGCGCGCGCGAGGGTGTGAGTCAGTGAGTCAGTGAGTGAGTGCGTTGGGTTTAGCGCCGCTTTTAAAAGTATTCCAGTTATATCACGGCGTGTCAGCTGAATATTGATTGAAAGCCCGAAGTGATGTGATGCAGGTCAAAGACGTTTACCACTTCGGTGAAACCCACGAGCACGGATATGGTGCTGACAAACCTCGAAACATAATCAGGGAGAACCGGGATTCGAGTCCACAATCATAGGTGTCCGGCGTACCCAAGGGACGCAACTCTACAGCGAATCGCGGCGCCTTGGACGACTGGGCCACGACTGAGGGAGAGAACAACTGTTTATCTCCTGATTATCTGATTATCATACACATTAGATATGTTTGTGCGTGTGTTTGCTTATGCGTCTGCGTGTGTGTTTGCGTGTGCGTGACTGCGTGTGCGAACGTGCAATCTCAGGTGAGTGTGAGTGACTTCGCTGTACAGAGTTAGGCCCCTTAGTTGTGCTTTGATCTGCTAATAGTGTGGTTTCAAGCAACAGATTTGCTCTGATTTGCTTGAATCTGCTAATCGTGTGGTTTCAAGCAACAGATTTGCTCTGATTTGCTTGGATCTGCTAATTGTGGGGTTTCAAGCAACAGATTTGCTCTGATTTGCTTGGATCTGCTAATTGTGGGGTTTCAAGCAACATATTTGCTCTGATTTGCTAAGATCTGCTAATTGTGGGGTTTCAAGCAACAGATTTGCTCTGATTTGCTTGGATCAGCTAATTGTGGGGTTTCAAGCAACATATTTGCTCTGATTTGCTAAGATCTGCTAATTGTGGGGTTTCAAGCAACATATTTGCTCTTATTTGCTTGGATCTGCTAATTGTGGGGTTTCAAGCAATAGATTTTGCTTTTATGATCCTTCTGTTTTGTTAACACCATACCCGTGCTCGTGGTTTTCACCAAAGCCGCGAACGCCTCAAACTTGCATAACTTTGGGCTTTCCACCTACATAAAGCTAACACGCCCTGATTTAACCGAAATACTGTTTAGATCATAAACCCCAGCTAGCCCCACAAAACAATCCGACATCTTTACTGGAAAATGCTTTTTGTCAAAAGTAACACCATCAAGAAGAGACTTCTCAATCCTGCTGTGTTTTAAAAATGTGTACAGCGGCCAGACGCCAAGACATCAACTCGATCTTGTTTTCTGTTTAACAACTTTTGACAAAAATCAGCCTCGGACTCAATAAGAACGCTGTTGTTTTAAACTCAAATCTCTCCTACTGTGGGTCACAATAGTGAGTATGACCTCAAAATGACATGATATAACCTATTATTATATTATCATAACACGTATAGATCGTTATCGCACGCTGCATATTAGGGTCATATTCCACACCCAAAACCTGAAACCCATGGCTTCGACCTCATATCGCCCTGTACTTACTACCATGGCGCAACGTGCATCATGCATGTTACTGTGCACGTCCCACGTGTAGGGCACCGGTATCTGGACCCGATTACAGGAGGACACTGAGTGGGATTGTCAAGTGCGCGTTCCGCCTAGCACACAGAATAGTACACAGATAATAGGATGAAGCCAGGTGTACAGTAAAAATGTCAAATGGCACACAGGTAATGAAGCCACATATACAGTTGTTATCCATACTATTTGTTATCCCTCACCTGTTTACTTTGTATTTGCGTTGAAACCTCCAATCAAGTAAACAACATCACAAACTGAACGACCGCCTCCGTGGTCTTGTGGAGTCGGTTGATTTGAAAGTCCGGGGCTCGATCATCGGTTGCGTCACACCAAAAGACGTTAAAAGATGGTACTTGTTGTTACCCTATCTGGCGCGCGGCATTAAGGGGCTCTAGCGGTAGAGCGTCCGTCCGTAGAGTGGAAGGTCCGGGGTTCGATCCCCGGTCAAGTTTACATTTCATACACGCTAATGTTTCTGGCCTGACAACGTGTGCAACGCGTGCCTTAGCCTCATGGCATTCCGTCATATCATGAACCTGTCATTAAACTTAATATGCCCAGAAATTAGCACTAATATGTTGTGGAAATGCAGGGACTAATATAAACACTTTGTGTTTATCATTGATGCCTAAAAAACACATCACAAACTGAACGTCAGAAGTGATGCATTTGGAATTTATTACTTTCAAACTTTCGAGTCGAGAGAGACCGCCTCCGTGGTCTAGTGGTAGAGCGTCCGCCCGGAGAGCGGAAGGTCCGGGGATCAATCCCCGGCCGCGTCATACCAAAAAGACGTTCAAAGATGGTACTTGTTGTTACCCTGTCTGGCGCTCGGCATCAAGGGGCTAAAACAAGGACTGGTCGGCTCGCAGTCAGTATACTGTGTCTGAGTGGGGTATTCATGTTAAACTGCGGCATGGTATCTCAATCGGCATCAGTCCGGACTAGTATAAGCAGCCACATTAACACACACACACACACACCTCACCTCGAGTCAAAAGAACCTCTATATAATTTCAATCTACATCCAGCTCTAATCAATGCAGATGATAGGCGACAAAATGCGCCGTTTTTCAAGAAGGAATTGTTTGAAAATTATAGTTGAATACTCTAATTTAATCACACGTTGATGTAAAACGTGTGCTTAAAGTACCATTAGTTAATGATAGTTTGATGGCCTGGCGTCACTAACTCATCAAACAGTAAGACTTGAGTGAACCATTCGTGTTCAGCGTTCCCATTAGTTAATGAAGGCTTGATGTATCCGGGTCCAGACAAACAACGGCCAGCTTACATGTCATAGACGGCAACGACGTTTCTCGCTTGACAACGTAACGTGTGCAGCTCGTAGCATTCCGTCACCTCTCGCTTTTTTCCGTGACCTACAAGAAGACGAGTTGATCACGAAGGAGCCTCGTGGCTTTCTGCTCTACACATTTTTTTAAAGGCAGGGAAGGTTCACACATGGAGTAACGTTCAATTGTCCATCCATGAGTTATAAACGGCCTCCTTTCAATAACTTACTGAAGATAGACACGGTCACATATGCAGGGACAGAGCGGACGTATGTATTCACAGGTGATTGATAAACGACAGACAGACAAACAGTATTAGATCACTGGCCCAAACTACAATCCTTCAAAAGTTTACCTGCATGAGCATATTATACTATTTAACTCTCAAAGAGATTGACTTACATAATGTGTACACACAATGACAATGTATTAATGATTTACCCCTAGCGTCATGTGTTCCAATACAAGATCTAGTTGGAAATTTGCTACAGAAGGGTTACTCGTTGGCGCAAATGGTGAAGGAATGTTTTCAGAGTTTCTTAGATTGATGTAAGATTTTCCCCAAAGGTGTCAGACATAAAATTATTTAGATCAAAAGATTCCCATCAAATCAAAACTTGAATGATGATTTCTGTCCTTATATATATATATGATGATTTTACAAAACAACAGGACATAATATAGATGAGTTAAAGTTAATTTTCTCGATTAACAACTTTCAAACATATTACAAAGGAAATTATGTCCTTATCTTGGTTTACAAACAAACAAATATAAAATCAAAATGTAAAAATGGGCTTCATGAGCTTTGCACAATTTACAAACCAACACAACTAAAATTAAAACGTAAAGATGGGCTCCATTAGCTGTCCACACGTCCTGCTTTGTTGGTATCTGATGTAGAAAACACAGTAATATATTCTCTAAATAGAAAAATACTTCATTTACTCCCTGAGCCAAGAGTAACTTACTATAAGCCCCTGTTCCAAAGGTACTTTCGTTTATTATGACACATCGTAAAAACATTATCTTAAATATTATATGAATATATGTAAGATATGAATACAACACCCCCAAAACATCATACAAAACAAAACAAAACGCAACGAACTTAAGTGAATGTAGGCGTGTAGTTCCTATGGAGGCTCACTACGGCTATGGTGGTCATATTGGAACAACAACAACAACAACAACAACAACAACAACAACAACAACAACAACAACAACAACTCCATTATTTTGTAAATTCATAGCTATTTAGACACAACTTTTACATGTGCACAGCTATAAGATACGAAGTTAAGACTTTTTAGCCGAAATGTCTTGGAAATGTTTAAGAACCCATGCCTTAGAAATGGGGCCCAAATCGGTTCTGAGAATGCCTAGAATGCTTCAAAGTTCTTCAGGGTCTACTGGAATCACTACCCGATCAGCACAATGTGTGAGGACTCTCTGATAATCTGTCACAATAACCTGCTGACCGGCATAAAGGCCTTATTGTAATTGTGTACTGATAACATGTACACATATATCTACATCTCGTAACCTCATTTGTGAGTTACAAGCGACATG